TCCGTAAGAGTTCTGGAAACCAAAATTGGGTGTTTCCTTCTTGGCCAGTGTACACTGACAATGCATTGCTTGTGGTCAACAGCCCAGCAGATCTAGGTAGGCGGGCCAGCTGCCTCCACCCCACAGGTTTGCTTGGCCAAGAAGAACCCCGTGGTCACGGTCAAGACTCCCACAGGTGCTGCCTCCCAGCTCAGCTGACCTGCAGGGAAGAGCATCTGCCATTGTATTTCATTAGGCAACAGTTCCACTCCTTAGTCCGCCTCAATCTGAAAACACCGGATTTCTTCTGGCCAGGTCTCTGCAGATATTGTCATCTTCTAAGACAGCCGTCTCCAGAGTGGGGTGTGCAAGACAATCCAGAGACAATCTCCGAAGTGGTACACACACGAGTGGGGTGCAGGAAGAAAAAATTCTTTGTACGATTAATACATACAACTTTATAAAATATTTTATAAAGTATTTCACCTTTTTTCATTTCTATTTTTGTGTTGTTTTAAAATGCACATAATATACTAGTACATGTAGATGTATAAAATTTGTAAGTGAACAATTTGTGGGGCTCAAAAATCTCTTACTGATAGGGGTGCATGATCAAAAAAAGTTCAGAGACTCTAAGAAAAGCAAGACCCTCACAGTCAGCTTTATACCTTCCATTTTTGAAGACACCAAGTCCTTCAGAACTTAACTAAGGCTGATACACAGGTGTGCTTCACCACATCTTCCTCAGATAAGTTCAGCAGCTCCCCAGTACCCTGGAATATACTGGTATCACCGAGACCGCTCCCAGTCTGTGGATGGGCATCACCTCCACAAGTCGGAGCAGCCCCCAGAAGCCGCAGCGGCCCGCCCCTTGCTCCCCGGCAGGACGGGCAGCCTTCCACCGCCCATCTCTGACCTTTCCTGTCAGCGTAGCCGCATCAGCAGGGAGCGCAACCCTGAGCTTGCCTGCCTTCAGCCACATGGCTCACGTGCTCGTCCTCCAAAATCCAGCCCGCAGTGGTTTAAGAAATCCTCCTGTGCAAGGGACCCCCAGTAGGCCGCCTGCCTCTACTCAACAAGTTATGAGATAAAGGCTTCGGCCCTCCTTCCAACTCCTGCTTAAAAGCCATTTCCAAATTTCTCTGCAGAAATCCACTTTAAAAAACAAAACAAGCCACCACACTAATCAAAAGATTAATAACATCAATCTTTATTCCAAACAAGACAGAACTACCGAACACCTGTAATCCTTCTGGTCGTGTTGTATGGAAATCTTGAAACACCGGACACACTGACTTACTGCTCAAACTACGACAATCAGGGATAGGGTAATGGCACTGCTAAAGAGAAGTGTTTCTTCTAAACAAACTAAAAGTTAAGGTTTAAAAGTTACCTTTCATTTCTGATGCTTAGCTTTGTCTTCAGGTGTTCTTGCTTAGCAACAAAAGCAAAAAAAATAAGCCTGCTTTAGAACAGCAAGTAGGAACAAACAGAAGATGTAATCATACAAAGCAGCAGTAGTTTAGTACGGTCTCATGCGGCTTGAGGGGGGTGGTGCACGATTTGGAGGAGTAATTGCTATATCCAAGTAGTCTCCTATCTGGAATTTCTGAGACTGCAGTGTCATGGAATCGTCTGTGCCCTTCCTGCCCGACATGGTACTGCCGATCTCCTTCACCCTGCGCACAGGAGAGAAAAGGCAAGGTGGTTATCGGAGGCAAATCTCTCTCCACATGCAAAACAGGAACTGTGTTGGCTCATGCCAACCTTCCCATGCCAACTTCTGCACTACATTTAGCATTTAGCTATGTACACAGGATGCTGGGTTTTTTTTTCCCCTCCAGTACCAGGTGCACCAAGCAAAGCCACATCAGACCCTCCTTCTGATGGGGCAGAGGGGTGGGGGAACCTTCCACCATATTAAGTTAAATAATAAGAGAGAACCCCTTGCCCCCTTCCACACACAACACAGGACAAGACCCCACAGGCTGCAGAGCAGGATACATCCACTGGTTGCTGACAAAGGTTAGCTCATCCAGTTTTGGAAGACGGACACCTGCAAGGTCACTGCTAAAACTCCAAAGCGTTCTCAGATACCAGACCTACCATGCCTCCTATCACCAGAGACAAAGCTTCATCCCAAGCTGTAGGCCCATGTTCTGGTTGGCTGCCAATACAACAACCAAAGCCTTCGAGCACAAAGGTTCAATGTTTTGGGAACACGTTAACAATGATGGCCACCAAGCAAAATTTAGTTTGCCAGGTAGTATGTTACCAAGAAGTTCAGAAATTTGGTTTGTGGGCTCTGAACTTTAAGATCTGCGTTAATGAAAAATTATTTACTGCTTCAGTGCCTGAAGTCTTCTACTAACCCAGAGAAGAAATGCCATTTACCTATATCCAGGCCTCTTGAGATCTGTAAAGACAATTGCAAAGTTGAAGTGTGTGCCCTTCTTCCGTGCTTCTGGGTAGACTTCTTTCACTAAGCTGGTCAGCTCTTTCAGAGTTGCATCCATCCTAGGTTAAGCAAACAAACCAAAGCGGTTCACATTCTCAAAAGTAAGAACAATAAAGAAAAGCTGCCCAAGATCCATTTAAGGCGGAATCAGTATGTTGCTCCAACTTGACCATGCATTTCCTTGCCTTTGCATACTTCCTGTCAATACCTGATGATGAGTAAGATCTTACATTTTGGCTACACAGCGAGCCATTGATTTCACAACTACCCAACATTCCAAACAATACATTTTGGTCTAACGATCAGGTGACAAGAAGTTGCTCTAATTTGAATAAAACACCTAGGAGAATTCACCACTTACTTTACGCTAGAGACAATACGGTTTAGCGCAAACATGGTTCTAGCTATAGTAGCTTCTAATTTACTGCAATATTAGAGAAGTCTCTTCACCTTTGTGCATGTTTCAACATCTGCTTTTCCGTGTCTCTCAAAAGAGTCACTATTTAAGCAGCAGGAAACATTTTTTTTTAAAATGCATTAATGCATTTATACAAGGAACACTGTAAGTATTTCTTCACCTAAGTTGGTGCCTGTGTTAAAATAGTTTCTTGAATACTGGGAGAAATGTAGAAATAAAAGAAAAAAAAAATAATGAATAGTCTTCCATTTCCATCAAGATTTCCGCTTCTGCCCTAACCAGCAGCACTCCTCCTTTTCCCAGCCTTCAACCAGACCAGGGCTAAAACTCATTTCTAGAATTTCAAGAACAAAAGGACTCAATCATCACAACTAAAGCAGCTCTAATTATACAGACTGAACGCTCGCTCCAAGCTTTGAGCAACCAAGGAGCAGTGTGTTGACAGACAATGCCCATTCTGACTTCTGCAGATGGCAAACAGCTCAGATGCCATCAACAGCCTGGACCGAGTCCATAAATCCCATTAAGAAGTAAATCAGAACTGCATGCTTTGCTAGTCACAAAAATGGATTTATTCAACCATATGACATACAAGTTATAATGCTAACAGAGGCCATGGAGATTTAAGTAGCAACATAATTTGCTTTCAAAAGCATTCTTCAAAATACTATAAACAAAAACTAACGTGCTTGCAATGCAGACTAAAGCAGTTCTCCAAACTAAATTCGAAAACAATAAAAAGCAGCCCTGCTAAAGCACTGCTACCTGACCAGACAAAAAGAAACACGCTACTCCACCCTCAAGAGGCTCTGACTTAAAACCAGCACACCATTCGCACAACAGTTCAAGCCTTCTGGGACAACTACTACTGAAAAAACAGGGCTATTGGAACAAAATTTAAGCATTAGTTAAGGGAGAATCTCTACGTCGAACAGATGCGTTGTGATAACCAAAGACAGGCCACAACACAAGCCTCCGGTTACGTGCACCGGTAATGGGGCAATCCAACCGCAGTAAGTTTCGCCGTGCAGCAATCAGCGCCTCGCTAGAGCTGTGCTTCCAGGGATGCCACCTCCAAGCCGCCGTGGCGACAGGCACAGGCGCCGTATTTCGGTGGGAGGCGCCCTCCCCCCCCCCGCTGC